GTATGTAGAGTGAATATACACACACATATTGAAATATGGATTGATATAAGTAGTTTATGTCGATCACTTACAATAATATTATTTCATTGGATATTTTATTCGTAATATCGGAAATTGGTGAAAGTTTTTTCCTCTTTTGTTTTCAATTTCTTTATTAGTTTATTTATTTATTGCTTCATTATTATTTTAATAAAATATTAAATAAACACTGTAATTTTTATATTATACTTTATTCACTACTATTTTCTATATATGTATGTACAAATATTGTACATACATACATAATTCAAAAAAATTTAATATGCACTTATTCTGGAAAATTCGAGTATTTAAGTACAATTATTGGAAAAATAAGTAATAGAAAATCTTGAATGTGTGAAAAACTAATTAAATACATTTTACGTAAATAAAACTTTATGTAAAATTAAGTAATAGTTATTTATTTGTGTAAATGTTTATAATCTACGTTTAATTAAATTCAGCATTATTTGAGTAGCTCAGAGCCAGAATGGCCTTCAAAAAAATATTTCCTTTTTAGAAATAATTGAACAGTTTCTAGAATTTATGATATTAGTTTAGTAATTTTCTGAAATAAGTTTTTCTTATATTTCAATTGTTTGGTTTTATAAGTTTATTAAAGTAAAATAAAAGTTCATCAATTCTTTTTAGAATTATGAATATGTTGAATTATGAATTCTGTGTTTTTTTCTCAAAAACAAAATAGCGAAAAGATTTGAAAATTAAATTTCTTAATTATTTTACTAAAATTTCCCATAACTTAACCGCTATAAAAAAATACTTTTAGCATTAACGCGCATCATAAATTTGAATTGAATGTGAATCAATAGTTTCAAGGTTAAAAAATTTAATGTGATAAACTACATTCTTAACTCTGAGTTACTTATTTAGAGTCCTTAAGTTCTAAAATTTCTGCAAAACAACCACTAAAGATTTATTTAAACTAGTTAACATTGCTTGCAGATTTACTATTTTATTCTGAAACATATAAAAAGTTGGAGTGAAAAAAAGTATCAATTATTCAAAAAATGGTAACATTGATTTACAAATTCCTTTCAAAAATGCCACAATAATTTGTGCCAACCTTCAATCAAATTTCAATAGCAAGTCTTGAATATACATACAAACAGTATTATTCTTCAATGATCTCATCTCAATTCTTTCATTTTACAAACAGTTCCACAATTTCACCAGTTCTTCCAAACTTACTCAATATAAATATCACAACCTAAAAATTCTGGTTGCTTTTGCCATTTTTATTGAATTTGTTGAATTATTCGAAATTTTTTATTTCCAAATTTCATTTCTTCATCCTAAATCCGTGTAGCTACCTGATCTGGTAACATAAAAATTTGATTTATATTCAAAAATTTTTTCGGAATGTCAAGATTTGTATGATAAAACTGTTAATGTTTACTTCTGGCAATTAATTTTAATAATTTTAGATGCGAAATTATGCCTTCTTTTTGAAAATATTTTTTTTAAATTTTTCAACTGCACCCAGTTCGAGAAAATCGCATTTAAAAAAGTCGCACCATATAGGTACCATTTTTTATACAAATTGGGAAAAATAAAAAAACTATTCATTTTTTTTACCAAGAAGAGTTTCGAAAAAATATGTTGTGAATACTAGATTCATTTTTTTTGTACTAGAAAATTCTAATTTTTTTTTTTGTATAAAAAACAGTTTTCAAAAATTTGAAAAAATTTTTGAAAATTTCTAAATTTTAAAAATTAGATCTAGTTTGTTTTGTCAAAATTTTATTTGACTTATTTTTTACTTTATATTTCTTAAATTTCTATTATATATACATATATACATATACATATATTAAATAACACATAATTGAGGATTCTACTGAAATGGTAATCATTCTTTATGGACAAATCGCAAGGCTTTTAAAATAAACTAATTGCTGTTTTACATTAAAAATTGGAAAAAAATTTTTTTCCACTATGTGTTTATTGGAACCGGGCCTGATTGCACGTACATAGGTGGGGTGCATGTATTATAAGTAAAGGACAATAGAAACAGAAAACGATGCATTAATGGGCATCATAAATTTGAATTGAATGTGAATCAATAGTTTCGAGGTTAAAAAATTTAATGTGATAAACTACATTCTTAACTCTGAGTTACTTATTTAGAGCACTTAAGTTCTAAAATTTCTGGAAAACAACCACTCAGATTTATTTAAACTAGTTAACTTTGCAGTCATCTGTAGTGTTTTTACTTTACATTTTAAATTTTTCGCTACGGATCGTTTATGTAAGAGAATATTTCTTGATTAAATTTAACTGTTATGTTAAAACTCTTAATACTTATATTATATAAAAAAAATTGGTAAAAAATGAAGTGCTAAGTTTGATGTGATTTTGAAGCATTCATAAGTAACTGATTTTATTTACAAAATGTAGCCTTAAATGTATAATACTCTTAAAAACAATTCGTATACAATTTGTCAAAGTTAAGGAATTCAGTCAGTCCTTTATAAGTATTTCTGATGCTAATTTTTCAACAAGCCAATAAATACATTTATTTTTACAATGTGTAGTCAAGTTACATAATCTGCGTTTTTTATGCGCAAGGACACTGCACAAAGAAATTTAATATATTAAGTTAAAGTCTTATAAAATTCAATAAATTTTCATATTTTTCATGTTTTGGCGACTTTATAATCTTATTAATATCATGCATGTATTTGTATATGTGTGTATACATATAATTCGCCAAATAAACTTATAATTTTCCTTATAATTTAAGTGTTGCAATTTATGTAAGGTGAAATAACACTATTGCAATATGAAAATGAAAAAGAAAAATTCAAAAATTTTCTGTGGTTTAAATAATATAGCCCCTTGGCTTTATTCATTCTACATGATCCAAAGCAAGAAGCAACAGATAACTCTATCCATCTACATATTGTAGATAGATATATATAACTACCTATACATGTGTATATGTATATACATGTACATATTATGTAGGTTGCTAAATTGGGACTGTAAATAAATTTAGGTCAAATAAATTAGAATAAGAGTTGATGATATAAGGTTATCATTTTTAATTTAAAAAACAAATATGGGATATAGTTCACACATGTAATTTTAATTTTATGTTACTGCAATCAATAAATGTAAGTGTGCACTTTTTTCTCTATAATATGTACGTAAATAAGATTAACGACATATCCATATATACTCAAATAAGATTAGGTTCTATTTGATTGTATTCTATTCAATTATATACGTTACAGATATAGCGAGAATAAAAGAAAAGAGAAAAAAATTAATTCAAACTTTCTTTTATTATCTTTAGAAGAAAGTATCATAAATCAGAAAGCAGTAGTGATCATTTTAGAATTTTAAAAAAAATAACAGCTCAGCATCACAATTTATTTTGCTCCTTCTTAACTTATCAATTTAGTACAGTTTAAACTGCTACTTTTAGACTTCATACAATTTAAATTTTATCTATTCTGCTTGTATTATAAAACTATGTATAAAAAATTTCAAATTATTTACATACTTAAATATATAAAAATATATTCATGGGTCAATCACAAATATGTAAATGGTTATGCTTATCAGATGAAAGCAAAAATTTTCATTATAGTAGAATAACAAATATTAGTATAAAAATGTATGTAGATTTGAAACTAGAATTTTATCTAGGCTATGGCTAAACTAAAAAATAATACTAAATTATTTTTTTTCAGTTTTGTATTTTTGTCTATTCTTTGATAATCTATCCAATCATTAGGCTTTTTTTTTACAATGACAAAATGGATTTTTTCAAAATAAACATAAAAAACAAAACAAAATACATAAAGAATTTATATCCGACCTTCCCAAATATTTTCAATTTATTTTACTCCCTTTATTTTCTATAATAGCATAAAATTTCTGGATTAGAAAGCTTATATAGAAATTGTAAAAATGAAATGAAGAGAAGAGAAAGAAAACTAAAGAATTGTATGTAGTTTTTATTACTTATACAAAATTTACTTTAGGTGACCCTGAAGTGAAATTTTTCTCATTTTTTCAACAATATTATAATAATATACATATAGAGCAAATTGCTTAAACTGTGTAAAACATTTAATCCACATATTCTACACATAAAAAATAGATAAAAGTAGTTATGTAACATGATGTGACTTCGAAATGACGAATATGAGCACAACATTTAGATTTTTCATTAAATTGTATTCGTTATGAGTTGAGGTAGTTCAAGGATTATTAATTTGGTTCATTTGGTTTTTGTTTATTCGAAATTAATTATTTTCAAACTTATTTAATGTTAATTTTTTTTTCTAATAAAAATGAATTTGGGATATTATTAATGTCGTTTTACTTATACTAGCTCGTAATAACCAATTTTTAAATCACAATATTATAAAATAATTCAAAACGAATTTCTTTTACGAATTTGCTAAACAAATACATACTTACGTACATATATATGTATATAGATATAATAAGATTACAATTATTATGAATTAAGAAATTGAAATTATGTTATAAGTACTGATTGATATGTATGCAATTGTAATAACAGAACAATGTCAATAAATGCATATATTCAATAGTATTATAATCTATTAATACCATTGCAACTATGTATGTATATGAAATCCTTTTCAAAAGTTGGTGCATGCAACTTAGTAATATGCTTACTAAGTATATGCTTACTAATAATTTTTAAATTTATTAGCGTACAATACTGATGTTTTTAGTTAACATATTTTAAACTTTTAAACATCAAATCACATAATACAAAATTCCAAAATTGTAACCATTTTATATACGAATTTCTATACACGGAAGACTTAATTTTAAATAATATTTATGTTTTCATCACTTCAAAAGACATATTTAATTAGTATTAAATACAATATTATATTTTATATAAATACACACGTATACATATATAATATTTTCGAAATTAAAAATATATTTTTGAAAAATTTTAAACAAACCTGCAAATTTATTAAATTAAAAATTCCAATCATGTATTTTACACACTGATAAATATGTGTATCAGTTGTGTTGACATTAACTTTCCGCTTATGAGTGAATATTATTTGTAAATTTCACCGTATCAAATTAATATTATAACACTTAATGTTATTTATGTGTTTTTAAAATATATGTAAGTAAATAATATTCATAATAATAATATAAATTTCAAATGTGACAGATACTAATGAAATTATAATAAAATTTTTATTTTCATTTCTTCATATTTTATTATTAGCACCTTAATTTTATTTAAATTCTTTTATTAACTGTAATATTATAATGTACATTTTACTATATTCAATATTAACACTATTTTATAACATAATATGTTATTTATAATGTACATATACATATATACCTACATACTTATGTGAAAAATATACAAAAAAAAACAAAAAAAAAAACGAAATTTTCTTTAATTATATGGGGAAAGGTTTACAAAAATATGCATTTAACAACACATTCATATATACATACATACATATAAATCAATATTATGTTTTAAAAATGTTAAATTTTTGTATTACATATAGACATTTCGAGTATTACTTGTTATTGAATTCGACAGAGATAGGTGAAAATTTTATGTTTAAGTAAAAGGTAGGTAAGGTACCCTTATATCATTCCAATTTTAATAATATTGAAATTAATTTTAAAATATGTATGTATGTAGGTATGTTAATATGAATGAGTTTTTATATTGAAATTATTAATTTAATATTAATAAGTATGGTACTGTATTGCCGCTTTTATATTATCGACGACACAAAAAATCACTTCAAATATAAAATAAAAACAAGTAGGTATGTATGTATGTATGTATATTTATTGTGAATTAAAACATAAAACTACCATGTTAAAAATGGTTATTTTTTTAATTTTTTCCAAAAAATCATGTTGCGCAAAAAGAAAAAAACACAAAAAGCAAAACATTTTCTTGTTATCAAAATCTTTAAAAAATCATAAAAAAAAAAACAAAAATAAATTCAAAAAATTTTCACTTTTTCTTAAAATATTTCTGCAACTTTTTAATTTAACAAGTTTACAAATTATCACCGAAAAAATAATAATAAATGTCCATTTACTTAAAAAATTTATATGTACCTTCAAACATATGTACATACATACATACATATGTAAGTATTCTTTGTGAATAACCAAAAAGAAAAAACAATTTTCGATTTTTTTTTTTGTATTTTTAAAATGAAATTTTTTTAACACACAAAAAAAAAATTTTTATGACAATCCAAATCCAATTGACAAAGAGGTGAAGTTAATCGTGGAGCGCATACAAAATGGTTGTATGTATGTACGTAAGTACCTATGTACATATGTACATATTTTATTTATTGTTAAAAAGATGAAGAAATATAATAATTATTTTTTTTTTGCAGAATTTTTTCTTTTCGATTTTTATTTCATAAAATTAGGACACCGTTTTTAAAACTAGTTTAAAACTTTATACAATTAAAAAAACTTCATTTGACAAATAAAATTTCTTTTGTGAAAAAAATTAAGCATAAAACAAATTCTTTAATTTCTTCAATTGTTGATAGTTTTAAAATTAATTAAATTTTATTACTCTTAACTACAATGAAAACACTTTTTCCATGAAGATTTATTAAATCCAATTTAAAACAAAACGAAAAAATACACTTAAAATATGTAGTTATTAATTTTAAGCGAAGATACTAAAGAAAAACTATGTATAAATTGTCTACGCAAAAAAAATAGAAATAAATAAATAAATAAATAAAAAACTTATGAACATATGTATGTATGTACACAAGATAATTTATAGTTGACGTATGTATAAAGAAGCGGTAAAAGTGTGTAAAAGCAAGAAAAACTAAAAAGAAAACTAATAAAAATTTAAAAAAAAAGAATACACAAATATTTCAGTAATTTATACGCCGTTGTACAATCTGCGAAACGCGAATAGCAAATAAACTGATAAAATAAACGAGAAACAAAAAAAAAAAAAAGAAAAACAAAACTGACAACAAGAGAAGTTTTTTACTAAACAAAAAAAAATCTTTGTTTTATGCCTTCTCTTATTGTATAAAAAAATTCAACTAACCAATCCAACGGCTAATGTACAACTGAACTTATCGAAAATATATTTTTCAAAGCTAAGCTTTATTTTGCAGACTACAATGCTTTAAATCTTAATCTTATACACAGTTAAATATGATCATCATGCTATACCATATAATTGTATTCATGTAATCATAATATCACACCATAGAAATTTCACATAAATTGGAAAATAATATGACTAATATGAGTACATAAATTAAAGCTCATACAAAATTGAGTAGGAAATTTAAATTTGATAAGTAAAAAGAAAATGAGATTATTTTAAGATTGTATTGAGTAAAGAGTTTATGGATTGAGTAGAAATGATTGAAAAAATTAAATTGTTAGCACTTTTCCAAAAACTTAAAAAAAATTCTTGATTATTTTATTCTGTTCGAAATAAAAATTTTTCAAATTATGCAAACGCAGAAAAATAGTGACTGGCTTCTTCAAAACGGCCACTAAAGTTTACCGTTATCTAAAATCCGTTTTTCTAAATTTTTGATATCGTTTTTCTCCTTCTTCAGGTTTTAGGAGTCTAAAGTTGTAGCAGATACTAACAAATAGTTTATTTTGTTAAAAGAAAATTTTTTTCAACCTCCAATACTTTTCAATCGCCCTTTGAAATCCGTAAAATGTCAATTTTCGGTGTCTTATATTTCCGAAATTTTACAAAATATTAATAAAACCGATAAAAGATAACTGTAATCAAAAAGGGTAATTATTTAACTCATTAACTTAAGCATTCAATCCAGCCATGATGTTAGCGCTTTTTCAAATTTTTTTTCCTTTGTTCATCCCAAAAGTATGCAAAAAATTGATTTATTTTGGTATATAATTAAAAGTAGTTAAGATAATGTAGCAGATTGTTGTTAAAAGTAGTATTTTCATTTTGTTTAAGGGAAAAATGCTTTTTTACAAACCATTGGTTTGATCCAATTTTATTTATATATTAGCCATACAAATATTTATAACAAAAATGTATAACAAAATTTTTTAACAAAAGGTAACAAAAATTTTTCGAACAGGCTGACTTCAAAGGTTGGAGTAAATCGTTGTTGAAACATTTTTCAATTTATGAGTGTTAATTGCTAGATTGAGTATAATTTTAAATTGTAGCTTTTAAAATTTCGAAAATGTTATTGTTTTTTAATTGGTAAAAAATAATAAATTCAACTTACAATTGCATTCAGTAATCATACACAAATATACATATATATATATATCTTTAATTTAAACAAATTCATATATTTTTCAAGTTTTAAAGAATGTCAAGAATTCAATAATAATATTGTTTAGAAATATTTACTTTGAGGTTTAAGATCCAGAAACTTATGAAAACAATGTTGTTTTAGTATGTTTTTATGTACATACATACAAGAATTTTTCAGATGTTTACATTCAACAAGAAAAAGACAAACTATAAAAAAATTTTAATCAGTACACAAATTTTTAATGCGTGAATAAAATATAGAATAGATCTATCATTATTTCAATTGAAAATGAGTGTAAAACTTTAATTTGCTAGAGAATTAATTTTTAATAGTATACTAAGCATTATGTTAAAGTAGTATCAGTGGTGCTGTTTTGCTTGTATCACAGTAATACATATATTGCAGTAATATTTTGCAGTTTTCCAAAAAAAATCTCAAAAAAAGTACTTCTTAATATCACTCTGTCCGTCCGTATTTCTATTTACAAAAATTACGCAAGCTTTAAGAAAGAAAATTGAAATTTTACATGCACATAAAAACATTTTCACCAGAAGAATTTGTAAAATCTGAATTTTCGGAACTTTATATTACCGAAACTGCAAGCTTTTTCATATTTCTATAAATACAGAAAAGTAAAAAGAAATTCTATCCCATCCAAAATATAAATATTTATCCTAACTCATGCAATTAACGGTGACTGAAATAATGTGCGAATTTACAAACCATTGGTTTGACTTTATTATATTTGTCTTTCTTATTGTTTACATATTTTATCGTTTCTTATTCGGTTATATATGGAAGATTTACTTCTACGACAAGTATAAAATTGGTCATTATTAAAATATTGTTATACAAGTCACTGTATGGCAAACTATATTCGTAAAGTTTGAGAAGGGGACTTCAATTAAAGAACGAATACTGTAGCTAAAGTAAGTTGGCAATACTACTTTTAGTTGAGCTTTGGAGAATTTATTTCTAATTATGTTATTTTCTCTTTGTATATTTGTATTTCTTGCAGTTTTATTGAAATAAAGTATCGTATATTAATCGGAACAAACTATAAAATTGGTATACTAATCCGAGACAAGGGTTAGTTTTATGCTACGTACGTACACACACATTAAATGTACATACATGTGTATATAATGTGTTTATACTCAAAATTAAAAGAGAAATTGCAGATAAAAGAGAGTAAAAAGTAAACGTGTTTAATTTAATTTTAAACACAATGTTTACTTTTCTTTCTTTAGAGTAAAACCGTTATTTAATCTTACTTTGTCAAGCAGAAAGTGAAAAAAAAATAAAGTTGAAAAAAGTATGTGTTGGTTTTTGTTTTTATAGATTTTTTTTACTTTTAGAGAGAATTGAAATCTCATCGAGAGCATAATATGCTACATGACTTATGATTTCATATGAGTAATATTTATTTTATGTGTGATATTTATGTTACATAAGTATGTACATAGGTACTACATAGATAAAACTTATTTTTTAATCATGTATAAAAAATTTTATGCGAGAAATAATACAAAAAAACTTATTAGGAATTTATCTCGACGATTATGCTTTGATAAAAATTAAGTTAAAAAATATTTTAGAAAACGTTTTGCAAGTGCTCTTTCTCTCAAAGATTTAAATTGAGTTCTCTTATGCACAAGAACAGCTGTTTGAAAAATTTTAGAAAAAACTGGAAAAATTTGAACTTAGTTTTAAACTTCTGAAATAAAAAACTAAGAAAAAGAATAGTTGAAAAATACTGTTATCTCTGAGAAGAAGAAATAGCGTCTAAGCTTGTACGTTGAGGAAAATATGTTTATGCAAAAAATTATGATGTATAAGCGAAAGGTTTTTTTAGAAAAATAAAGCGATTATTTAAAGTAAAACTAATGAAATATAAAAGATAAAAGAAAAGATTTTTGCTACGATACAGATAATGCAGTTGTTCAATCAAAACTAATGCCGGTTGAAGATCATAAAAAAGA